TTTAGGAGAAGAGACCTGCGGTACTTTAGAGAATCCGACTGCACTTTCACTATCCGACCTGTTTATGATGCGCCAGCGGACGTCATTTTGTGCGTCTGCTGCTGTGGGGAAACTACAGTTTATCACTGTGTATATCACCATTCAAACATCTTTTAAAAGTTGAACAAACCCCGCACAGCTCAGTGAAATGTTGACTTTATTTGATAATTTCAGTACAAACTAAAGTTCATATTTCTCTTTTTGATTATAATACTGATGAACTTTCTAAACAAAGCACTTTGGCAAGTTACCACATATGTTTTTAAATGCTTAATAAGCACCGTAACTTTCATGATATCATCATGTCCTAATCGTTTGTTTCTGTGAACGGCCGTTTGTTGTGTGACGGCAAATGCTGCGGCTGCAAGGCATTGTGGGGCAGCATTTTCTCCTCTCCTTTCGGTGAGGGAGGTCCAGTGGTTCCTAAGCTAAAGGAGGTTATAAAGGAAGTTTGAATTCCTATCATCTCTAGAGAATTCGAACGGCACTTATCATGGCTGCCACTGAGGGACTTCCGGGTCATTTCACTGGGTTAGGAAGGTTCCTAAACTAAATGGACTATTCGACTGCAGCCCAGAGCTGCGTTTCACTTCTCTTATTTTTCATTTCCCTGCTTCTCGTGGTTTCCTTGGGTCTCTCCATGCTTCCCTGGTGGCAGGGACTAAACGCAGGGAAACGACGCAAGTGAGGGAGGCAAGGATTCCATTTAACCGACCTGAGACGCAGCCCATACCGATTATACCAGCCCAGCACAGCCCCGGCAGATGCTCATACAACAACTATTGACACAGTGTACTTAAAGCTTGGTATGCAAAGCAAAACAACACAGACAGGGGGAAACAAACAAACACAAAGGAGGCGGCTGGAGCAGTACAGCCACCACAGCGTTACCTAATGCAACTCCACACTAAGTCTTACGGTGCCGTGTACCGGAGGGGAGAGAGAGAGAGCAGCGAAGGGGGGGAGAGAGATGTAATACGGTTTCCTGATAAAGCTATGCAGAGTATGTGAAGTGAGAGTAGGTGCTGCAGGGAGGTGGATGCACAACGCACCCAGGAACGAACGCTAGCTCCGGTCCTTTTCCTGTGGACTCGATGTCCTGACAGGCTCGAGTTTGTGCAACCTGCACAAACACAACGTGACGTAATATGACGCGTTTGACGTATGACGTTAAAAAAAAGCAGTTTTTAGTAGCAGAGCTCAAAACGGCTCTTTTTCCTCTGAATTCATGCCCTTATGTCTTGTAAAACATATCAAATCCTGTATTAACATTTTTAATTGTAATTTTCAGGCAAGGTTAAGCATAAATGTAGTAAAAAAAAAAACCTGCAAGATGCTCTGTAATGGATAAATGTTCATGCAAGAAAACACATTAACATGAAACAAAACACACGTCCTTGTGTTATGGCCAGTTACGGTGGTCAACGCTGAGAGGAGTCCAGCCCTGCAGTGTTCTATCTTAAACCTACTGTGCACTGCACTGTGGCTGTTGTGTGAACAGTTTTTGCTTTTAGCCCCATTAGCAGCTAGCTGCCAGCTTAGCTATCGCCATGTTAGGAGCTGTGTGAAAGAACCCCCCAACCATAGGTCTGGATTCCATATTGAAGATTTTTAAGTAGGATTCCGAATACAGGAAATGAAAAGAAACAGGAGTGCTTTTCCTATACTCTGGTATTACCACTTACGCTTAAATCAGGAGTTTTTCATGGGAACGGTAAAATAGCTTAACTAAGCATCAAATAAAGGCCAGAGAACATTTGATAACTGTCAATTCGAAAAGGTTCAGTCCTTAAACAGGATTAAAACGTTATGAATATATTATGTAAAAAGTTGTTTCCATTCCCTTCAGTACAGAGTCTTATCAAAGCAGCATCTTGTGGACATTGTAGGACACTGCAGCTAAATACACGTCAGCTCTTCCATCTCTCACCACTGACCTCACCGCGCCACATGTTGGCCACACTGCTGCCTGTTGTTGTGCGTCTCCACCGGCAGCCTGAAGCAGACAAACAGACAGATTCCACCTCACCTGCTGCAACCAGAAGTGTACGTGTGTGTGTGTGTGTGTGTGTGTGTGTGTGTGTGTGTGTGTGTGTGTGTTGCGATCGATCGTCTCCCAGCAGCCTGTTTCTGTCTCACTGGCAGCTGTTTCATCCAGAGGCTCCAAAATGAATATTCACGATGTACCTATTCCCAGGGCCACAAGCCGTCTGCAGCTGGACACACACACACACACACACACACACACACACACACACACACACACACACACACACACACACACACACACACACACACACACACACACTCTTTGCCATTTTAAGATGGCACCGAAATTAATCTTCACAATCCGAGTCACACCCCATGTCAACAGGCTGTTTTTATGCTTCTTCCTTATTTTTGGAATCACCAAATAGAGCTTATTCTTGTTTATTACAGTAACATTATGGAAATGTGAACTGACTGAATGATGAATAGAGCAAGGTCTAGGGATCATTATAGGCCTTGATTATTAGCCATTACAAAAGCATGCAGTCCTGCTAAAGGTTTTGAAATGTGCCTGTTTAGCTCTGTCCTCCTAGACAGCCAGTGAGATGTGCGCTGAAAATGAACACAAAATAGAAAGGTCGCTGAGGCACCAGTTAGTGAATCTTACACAGGGTATGATCCAAGTCCAGGCAAGAATATCCTTTGTGTACATTTATTTCCACTCCACAAAAGTACAATGAATATACATATACTGGTGCGCTGATCCAACCAGCCCCTGCCTCAAATATATATATTATCACCAGGTGCCCAAATCACCCAGTACCCAAAACTGCCTTCAAAATAAAAGCATACAAAAGTACTTAAAGGTGCATTTACAATAAACAAAAAACAGCAAGAAAATAAATGTTTAACTATTAAATAATATAAATACATATGTAGCTCAACAAGGAGGTTGTTCACATATGAGGGAACTGGAATGGAATAACGATGTAAAGGAAGTTTTTATTGTGCACCGGTGTGGTTTAGAAAGTGGTTAACGTTTAATGACTTCAATGCATTCATTATTATATCACTTGAAATGATCATGTTGTTTTTGTTTGGTGTGGACCCACTCTTCATCGTCCTCCTAACGGATGGGAGGAGAGAGGAGGAGGAGGAGGAGGAGGAGGAGGAGGAGGAGGAGGAGGAGGAGGAGGATGAGTCCATGTGCTTCTCATTAAGTGCCGCGGAAATAAGTGCTGACCTGTTCCTTCAAGAGGGCACATCCATTTACCACTGCAGAGCACACAATTACACACACAGTCCAGGAGAGAGAGGAGGGAGAGAGAGATGGGAAAAGGGGAGAGACGTTGAGCTGGAAGGGGGGCAGTTCCTGGGTGTTTAAGGTGGTCTGCAGGGTGTAAGAGGTAGTTAAGGTGGTCTGCAGGGTGTAAGTAGTAGTTAAGGTGGTCTGCAGGGTGTAAGTGGTAGTTAAGGAAATAAGTCATCATTGGGAAACTCCGATAAACGTAGTTCTAGGAAGTTTTGATTGACTTTAGAGGTTAAAACGGTTTGTGTGTGAACGAGAAGCTGCTGATGTGACAAATGAGGGTCTGGATCCAGATTTCACTACAAACATGTTTGGATGTCTGCCCAGGGGTTTCCCCCAGCACATGCATCATCCTCAAACCCAGATCCCCCTTCCTCTGGTCCACATATGGGGGGTGTGGGTGTTGGGAGATAAGATGGGGCGGGGGCAACGGGGGTCAGTGAGTGATGGCGTCCCTTCGTCCCACTTCCTCCTGCAGCATCCTTCATCGCTTCCCACTGTCCCCCCCTGCTGTGTTCATCACTCTCCTCCACAGTTAGGTCACACACACACACACACACACACACACACACACACACACACACACACACACACACACACACACACAGTGGATGACTGACTCCTTTAAAACTGTTCAACATCTCTAAATACGACTTACTTGCCTTTTTAAGGAAATGTGCTTCAGACACTTTAACCCCTCTCAGAGCTGCACCTGAAACTGACAGCTGGACTCACTTCAACTCCTACACAAACTCACAACCAACCATTTTTTGACAAGTTTAAAGTGTTTGCACCAGAACATTTCAGCGTAAGGGTTCATAGTAAACATTTTTTTTTTAAATGGGCCTTTTTTTTTGTTTCATTTGCATTAATTTAGAATAAACAAGTCGGCACAGAGTTGATATGGAGCTCTTCGGAATACTGACATGTTGTCCTTCCTGGACATTTTCAGTTTCAGGTGTGCAGGGTTCAGACCCGGCGCCAGAACAAATCTAAAGGGAGGGCATATGATTTTCATGGGAGGGCACACAAAACCGTCACAATATATATCAAACAGCAAGGCCAACGGCATTGCATAAAGACGCACACTTATCGCAAATACATGCACAAATAAAGGGCAACATAGAAACCACTTTTGAAACATTGTGTGCGTGGCAGCACAAACACTGGTAAATCACGAGCAAGGCACACTGGTTGAGGATGGCAGCTTCCTCATCGTTGCACTCGGAGAGAAATAGTAGAGACGGAGACGATGAACTGTTTAGCCCGTGTTTATTTTCCTATGCACTGCAGGTGCATCCTTTCGCTCAGCCGAGCTAACTTAGAACATTATTTTGGCCAACTCTGCATCTTTGTGCAGCGTATACTCAAACAGGAAGAGCCCACTGCCTGACTCGGACATGCTGTGGGCGGGTGAATCGTGGTCACCTCTGAGAGGGAGTTGGTTGGCAGCTAAAAAAAGCTATAATATCAACGACAGCTGACACGTAATAACGGTTCCGTGCCAGCTGATCTGCACCAAAGTACTAATTTCCTGATTTGTTTCCTTGCGTATCTGTCTCTCTCCACAACTCTCACATGAAATGTGTTCTGC